GTGTCATAATATAAGTAGTTAAATACTTGGAAAAAAAAATCCAGCCATTTATATTCTAACATTGGGTGTTTTAGATCGTGTTCTCGACATACTCGAAAATTTCTCTTTTTTGGATAATGCATATAAAATTATTCTATTAAATTACACATACATTTATATAGAATAGTGCTCTACACACATCAATTTTACCAGTCACATCCCGGCCCCGGTGGGACCACTTCCCGGGCCCGCTCCACCACCATAGCACGATATTGTTCGCTTTGGGCTTACCATTCCCTCACGGTTTTGTTTTTGGGAACTCACGAGCAATTTCCCAGTGGGTCACCCATCATGGGATTGCTCTAGCCCCTTTCTCGCTTAACTTCGAAGTTCCTATGGAACTCGAAGCCAGTGAGCTCCCAAAAGGCCTCGTGCTAGGTAGGGATGGGAATATACATTTAAGGATCACTTCCCTGGACGATGTGGGATGTCACAATCCACCCCCTTAGGGGCCCGACGTCCTCGTCGACACATTTCCGGCCAGGGATAGGCTCTGATACCAAATGTCACATCCCGGCCCGGGTGGGACCACTTCCTGGGCCCGCTCCACCACCGTAGCACGATATTGTCCGCTTTGGGCTTACCATTCCCTCACGGTTTTGTTTTTGGAAACTCACGAGCAACTTCCCAGAGGGTCACCCATCCTGGGAGTGCTCTCGCGCGCTACTCACTTAACTTCAAAGTTCCTACGGAACTCGAAGCCAGTGAGCTCCCAAAAGGCCTCGTGCTAGGTAGGGATGGGAATATGCATTTAAGGATCACTTCCCTAGACGATGTGGGATGTCACATTACCTCTCACACACCTCTCTTATTTATTCATTAAATGACGTGGATGCTTATGTGGATTCTAAATAAAACAGAAGAAAAAAAAAATATAAAATCTAAAAGGAAATTAAAATAAAATTAAACGAAAGAAACTCTATAAACCTGCAAACAAGAAATGAGTAAAACTCCATTGATTCGTAACCTCCATCTCCATCTTTGTGAATGAGGTCTACAATTAAATATCAATAATCGAAAAGGAAAAAAATAAGAAATTAGAAGCAGAAATTAGTGACCCCAATCACAAATCAGTGACCCCATCTTGAAGCATGGTGATGAAGTCCTATGAAGATCTTTTATTCATTTATTTTTCTTTGACATTAATAAACGAAAATTAAAAAAAGAAGCAGTAGACATCAGCACAATGGATATCAATAATCTGTCACTTTATGGGCGGAGTAATATTTCTTGAAAGCCCTAGGCAGATAGACAGGCAACAAGAACCCAGATAAATTGAAGCACCAAAACCCCATATTAGCAATACCAAAGCCCTCTCCCCGCTGGCAGAGAGGAGGACAACAACGGTGACGGCGTTGAGCTACCAGAAGTTGCAGAAAGAGGGAGATGTTGGTTACGGATCGATGGAGTTCTACTCTTTTCTTGTTTGGACGCTTATAGGGTTCTTCCGGCCTTTTAATTTTATTTTTAATTTCTTTCTAGATTTTAAGCTATTTCAGTTACTTTTATCTTCAGTATCCATATAAACATCTATATCATTTAATGAATCAATAAGGACTCTTGGATGTTATGTTATCTACGGGTTTAAAAAAGTGTAAAAATATTTGTCAAAATGTTTGTCCCTTAGACCATCTCCAATGGTTGGGCTAAAAGTCAAATATTTTAGCCCGGAAAATTGAGCTTTTAGTCCAGAAACAGTTTTTCTGTTCCAACCGTTATAGCCTAAAATTTTAGCAGGGATTATTAAAGAATGAACTTAGGTTTTTATTTTATTTTATTTTTGTTAAATCAAATTTAAAAAAAATAAATAAATATGTAGACTATCGTAAATTAATTTTATGAACATTTCAATCTAAAAAAATTTAAATTCCGATGAATATTAGATGGAGTCTACTTCGATTTCAGGGCTAAATTGCGGGGGCAATTTGTCTTTGGTTTAGCATTTAGCCCAAGTTTTCTTCTTGGGTTGGAGTGGGTTTGGAAGGAAATTTTGGAGGGTAATTTGGCTTTTAGCCCACCATTAGAATTGGTCTTAATGCTATATATATACCAACTCCAATAATGAATTAAAAGCTAAATTATCCTCCAAAATTTTGTCCCAAACGCACTCCTATATATATATATAAGACGAGCTATCCGCCACCAATTCTGCTTAAAACCAGACCGACAAAATGTGGGGACCTAAACTTCAATACAATATATATATATATATATATATATATATATATATATATATATATAAAGGACGAGCTAACCGCCACCAATTCTGCTTAAAACCAGACCGACAAAACGTGGGCACCTAAACATCCAATACACACTCCACTGGTCTACCCCAAACAAAAGAGTGAAATGCCTTGGTTTGCTTGTGGAGATCAAGTGTATCAAACTTTGGAATTGCTCCAAAACCAAACACATATTTTCTTTGCCGTATCTAATAAATACCTAAGACAGTGACAATTATTCATTAGCTTCTGTTAGCCCCATTTCACGGATTGTTTTTTTCTTTAGATAACATAACCATCACTTAGCGCTACCATCTAATAATATTATACTCTACTTATAACGGTAAGTTTGAAATACCACTAGTGATATTATGAGTAATGCATTAATTGTGTGTGTTAGAGTACAAACTTCATCTCTAGTGTATAAAATATGTCGTCGTGTTAAAATAATAATAAGAAATAGAGCATGAGGGCTGAGGGTTAGAGGAACCCAACCTATCCAATGATCTTCCCAGTTCAAAAAAAAAAAAAAAACCACTATATCCCCTAGAAAAGTAGGAAGAGAACTCAATTCCCAATTCAAATGAAGCGAGAAATCAGCTATAATTGCCTCCTGATGAGTCCATATTATATCATATATTTTACCCTAATTTTAGTATTAATTTATTAGTTATTTTGGTAGAATTTTGATACTTTGTTATATATTTTCAATGTAAGACATTCGACTTCCTCTGGAGCAAAAATTATTCAAACAGATGAATTTTAGAGTGATTCTAATTGGAGGATGTTCGTGTGCCTTTCAAGGTAATTGTGTCAAAATTCCAGATTTTTTACCAAGCCATTTGACCTCGACGATGAAATTAAGGCCTAGCGCATAACTTTCACAAATTGATGTTTTTGACGTTTTAGGTATTTTGGAGGTCAAGATGGCGTATTTTGAGGAAGATTCCTTTTGAGGATTTGTAGGGGACGTCTTCAGCTTTAAAAAGAGACATTTTGGGATCAAATCGGAGTTGATTTGGTTGGTCAAAAGTGTGATTTTCTGAGAACTTTGAATTCTAGTTCAAATATAAAACCTTTTATTTTCTGTTTTATCATTTAATTATGTTTCCTAGTTTTATTCTAAGACCTTTTCAAGATAGGGTTTTATTTTCTAGTAGTATAAATAAGGCTTGTTAGCCATTAGGGTTCTCTAGGCAACATTGGGGGGAACGTACGTGGAAAATTTAGCTAGGCTTTGATGCTTTGTATTTTGAATGTGTTTTCTATCTTTTTTTCTATTTCAATAAATTCCTTTTGTTTTATGGTTGCTAGTAGCTAATTTTCGTTTGCTAGGGCGATGCCTTGAGCCTTAGTATGGATATGTAGTTTTTATTTAATTGCTTATGATATTATGCATGCATGCTTTGAATTATTAATTACTGTGCTTTAAACTGTCTCTATATCTTAATGCTTAGCTACCATTAGGATTTTTAGATAAGTAATCGGATGAAAATCGATCGGAACATCACCGGAGGATTGAGTATTGCTTCTTGTGATTGATAGTTGTAATTTCACCGAATACCACATCTTAAGGGTTGCATGGTTTTTCAAAGGGTTTTCACAAAGCGTAATGAGTCATACATATTTATATTTGATCTGAATACCACTGACAGATTGCATGTTGAATATACATTGTAGCTTAAATACCACAAGTAGAATATGCATTAGGAAAACCTAATCTTCAAAGTTGCATGGGTAATTCTTAAGTAATTGATAAACCTACATAGACTTGTTAAGGGGACGGCGAAACCCTAGGCTTTTACAATTTAGTTTTCAAAACTATTTTCTTTTGTTTTCTTTACTTTGTCAAGTTATTTTTTTTTAATTTAAAATTCGTTTTTAATATTCTAGGTTATAAAATCAACTTTTTCCAATCTTTGTTTTTTAAATAATTAATTAAGATTTGGTATTTACATAAATTATTCATTCAATCCCTATGGAAAATGACATTACTTGAGCCGCTATATTACGACAACCTTGTACTCTTGCAAGTATTTTTAAATATTTTTATCACTACTTTTGCAGGTGGTAAAAATCTCTATCACCTCCCTACAAACTTATCTTCACATATGAAACATTTCATGCTTCACGTATATATATCCAATTTATAGGGGCATTTATAATCGTTTCGCTTTCAGTTTTCAATTTTTAGAAAAATGAAAATTGAAAACTATTTTCTTGAGTTTTCAAAATTGGTCTTGAGCTTTTAGTTTTTGGTTTTTAGTTCTTATTTATTTTTAACTAAAAACTAAAAATAGCTAAGAAACAAGATTTCAGTTTTCCTAAAAGTGAAAACCAAAAACCAAAAACTAATTATTATCAAACGACCCATTACTAATCACCTCTCACACATGTAAAACTACCTTGCAGAGATAGATATTTCACGTGAATGTGTGTTCATAGGAAGTTTGATGAATGATATTAATTAGTCTAAATATTCTTTTTATCCATTTATAATTATTGTTGTTGTTGTTACAATGAAAGGGAATTATTGTTGTTGTGATCTGGTTCTAGATTATTGCATTTGCAGAGGGGATTATAACGAGGCTAAATATCCATATGCTTGCATTATTATAACAAATTCTGCTAGTGTTAACCGTTGATTTTGATTGGCCTTAATCCTACTTAACTTAAATCACAACTTAAGCTCGATCTTACATGAACATTGAAATTACATTGTATAAGTAGGCACCGTGATTAGTAAAAGTAAGATTTTATTACCATAATAATTAACCAGAACCAGAAACATAGCATCTTACAAAAAAGCTAGAGTACATAATAAGTTAACAACTTTATTATATGATATTATATATATATGCTCTATATTTATTCCGACTCGGATACTTGTTTAGTTAATATCTCAAGCATGCATAACTAGGAATCTTAATAGCTCCTGTTATGCAAGTTAATTAGCCATAGTTTGAACTAATCAAACCCATAATGCCCCGACACGCTTAAGCATGGGGATTAAGGAGCGCCTAAGATGAAGACTCATGACCTCATTGGCTCCACCAACAAGTTCACCACCAATGAACACAGCAGGCACAGTAGGGTTGCATCCAAGCCTAGAGAGAGCTTGCTCTATCTCTCTCCCTCTTTGCATCTGATCAAGCTCATACACTGCGGGGTTCACCCCAAAGTCACAAAGCAGGGTTTTGATCGTGTGCGACATGCAGCACGAGCTCTTGCTGAAGATCACCACTGGTCTCTCTGATGCCATGTTTGTCACCGCATCCATCGCTTATTGAAATGTTGCTAGCAGTACTCTTCAAAAATGTAAGAAGTTAGGGTTTACGAGAGCAAATGAGAATTGAAGTGAAAGGTGTGTCAAAAAGATTGGGAAGTTGGGAAAAGGGTAAGGAGAGCAATGCGAATAGTTTAGAGGATTGAGGTTTGATGTTGTGAGTATTTGGGGGAAGGATGGAGGGGTTTATATAGGGACATGGGAGACTAGTGGATTGGCATTGTTGGCTTTAATAATTCGATGGTGAAGGAAAAACAAGAATGTTCCAACAGATATTTAAGCCATCCCATCCAAATGCTGCACACTGTAGCTTAATTAGATCATGAAAGTTGCATGCACAAAAATTAACCGAATCTTTTTGCATACGGAAATTATAGAGACGTGTCCTTTGTACGGCTTCACGTTCTTATCTTGTTCCATGATATGCTATTGCCTAAACAGGTACCTTGCCGTATTCCCCTTTTTTTTCTTTTTTGTTTAATAATTTATTTCTCTTGTGCTAGCTAGATTGCTTATTTACATGTTTGTTTAGGGTTTCTTTTATATGACGGTAACACCAAGTGACATGTTAATATGAGGACACACTCATTTCCGTTTGTTCTACATTTTCTGCACATAGGAAGGGCTATGGTACGTACTCAGCGAGTTGATGATCAACGGCTCACTACAAGAAAGGGTCTATTGTATTTGATCTGCCGTATCTATCCTTGAGCATCTGCTGAGTTGGAGAAACTAGTTGGTTTTATCCATTTGGGACCTCCTTTTTCGTACTTGGATTCGCATCCAATTCATGAAAAGGATACAGAAAGCCAAGTGAAATGAGAAAATACATGTCCCCAAGAATTATACATATGCAATGTTCACACCTGTCAAAAACTACTTACAACTCAAAAATTGATCAAGTACTGATGCATAATTAGGTTCTCCACAAGAAGCCTAGCTAATACAAATTGGTTTCATTGCATTCCAAAAGGTCAAAATAAATTTGGGACCTAGTGAAAATTTTAATTAACAAATCAGTCTCCTCTCACTTTCGACGGACGATGATGCACAGCGGGGCACGTCCTAAATCCAAAAACCGCCGTACATGGAGTGAGATGACAAATCGAAATGCCATGAGGTGCTGCCGTGGTCCCAAATGTTATCCCCTATGTATCTTTCCATGTCAAAGTGATGTAGTTTGTTGCTTTTTGTTATTCTATAACTGGAAAAATACATGTATTTAATTTTCTTGTCTATTTTCCTCGAAATTACTAATATCTAGTCTGGACCGCGCATGCATAAACCATGTTTTTGAAAGGTCGATCGAGATGTTGATATATTGTCCATCAGTCATCTCTAGAAGAATGAATCCCATCAAATGGAAAGCTCCTTCACTTTCTTTTGATCGATTTTCCATCACCACTTCAAATCCTGGTCATGCGAATTGATGCTAACGTGTCTCAGTGATACGTAATTTATACCCCTCAATTCATATGTATATATATCGGTACTATGATTGTTTATGCCATGTATATGGAGGAAATGATCATACCTGTGATTTCAGGTCTCATCTCATATTCTCATGCATGTGTGTGTCACGACCTATAGAAAGCCTGTGACAAAGTACTTTATTAAGGAACAATGGCCTTACCTAAATGGCCCAGCATTATGGCAATTGGGAGCCAAGGGTCATCTTGGAGGTTCCATGACCGTACATCTCATGCTTATTGCAGCATGCATATATATGCATTAATGCATGCATGGCTATTTATCATCTCGTATTTATGCATGACTTCCATATAACATACATACATACATACATACATACATACATACTATATAGCAGTGATTCTAATGTTAACTGCACCGCGGATAAAATATTGACAACTGTAAATTTATAGTATTCAACGGTATATCAAAGACTTATATATTAACCCCATATTGACCCATATTAACAACATGTGCAGTTTAAAACATTGAAAAGCTTATATATTGGTATATATAAATATATTTTAGGCTGCATATTTTATTAGACCTGTTATTAAATGCAACTTAGAATAAGTTTTATATGTGCAGGACTCTCAAACACTAACTTAATACAGCATTAATCACTCATGTAGCCTTGTTTAACAAAATAATCTTATGATTCGAAGCGTTCATTTCGACTATCAATATTATTCATGCATCATGAACCTTCACTCTTTACATTAAAGGTTCGGATGGATGTACTTTTAAAATAACAGAAAGCGCTTTTAGAGAAAATATTTTTGGGTTTCAAAAGCACTTTAAGTGCTTTCTACAACAAAAAAAAACATCAGTTATGTGTTTTTTCCATGAAGCATTTTAATTGCTTTTCTAGGATTTATTAGCATTTTTATTAATGATTGTTTCCAAAAATATTTTCATCAAAAATAATTTCCGTCATTTTAAAAGCACATCAAAACAAACTCTAACACATAATATATGTACCTTCCATGACTATTCTCTTTCGTTCATACTAGCTAATATGCGAGAGTGTGTGTGGGGGATAAGGTCCTTATAATTACACGTGTGTAGGTAGCGTAAGTTGGAAAAAGAATGCCAACTTTTTAAGCCAAAAGCTATTAAAGATAAAAAAGTAACGCGACGACGGATCGTGGCATCACGCAAATTAGGGTTTTGGGTTGGTGAGGTCAGGTACGTGAGAGGCTCTTGTGTGAGGTCAGGTACAGACCCTGTACAGATTCTCTTGATTGTTTTATTCCTTCTCAGAAAGGAAAGAAAGGATTCTTTGTATGCTTCGTGTTGCTTTTATCTCACACGCAGATATATTGTTACATCTCACATCGTTTAGGGGAGTGAATCTTGTAAGCCTTATATGTATATTCTCATTTCTACCTAACACAAGGCCTTTTGGGAACTCACTGGTTTCGGGTTCCATCGAAACTCTGAAGTTAAGCGAGTTCAAGTGAGAGCAATCCTAGGATAGGTAACTCACTGGAAAGTTCTCGTGTGAGTTCTTATAAACAAAACCGTGAGGGTGTGATAGGGGCCCAAAACGAACAGTATCGTGCTACGGTGGAGTCGAGCCCGGTTGTGGTGGGGGCCCGGACCGCGATGTGACAATTTGGTATCAGAGTCAATTCCTGGACGGAAGTGTGTCAATAACGACGTCGGGCCCTTAAGGGGGTGGATTGGTACATCCCACATCGCCCAGGGAAGTGGATCATGTAGGCCTTATATGTATATTTCCTTCTTTACCTAGCACGAGGCTTTTTGGGAACTCACTGGTTTCAGGTCCATCGGAACTCCGAAGTTGAGCAAGTTCAGGCGAGAGCATTCTCAGGATGGGTGATCCACTAGGAAGTTCTCGTGTGAGTTTCCAAAAACAAAACCGTAAGTCAGTGAGCTCCCAAAAGGCCTCATGCTATATGGAGGCATGTACATATAAGGCTTACAGGATCCACTTTCTTGGACGATGTGGGATGTAACAATCCACCCCCTTAGGGGCTCGACATCCTTGTCGGCATACTCGCCCCACACAGTAGAGTGGCTCTGATACCAAATAGTCACATCCTGACCCGGGCCCCCACCACATCCGGCCTCGACTCCATCATAGAACAATATTGTCCGCTTTGAGCCCCGACCACGCCCTCAAGGTTTTGTTTCTGAGAACTTATGTGAGAAGAACTTCCCAGTAGGTCACGCATCATGGGAATGTTCTGGCCCCTTTCTCGCCTAACTTCGGAGTTTCTATGGAACTCGAAGCCAATAAGCTCTCAAAAAGCATCGTGCTATATAGAGGTGGGCATGTACATATAAGGCTTATATGATCCACTCCCCTAGGCGATGTGGGATGTAACAATATGGAACCCAAAGCCAGTGATGTCCTTGTCGGCACACTCACACCACACGGCAGAATGGCTCTGATACCAAATTGTCACATCCTGGCCCGGGCCACCACCAGATCTCGAGCTTGACTCCACCATAGCACGATATTGTCTGCTTTGAGCCCTGACCACGCCCTTACGGTTTTGTTTATGAAAACTCGTGCGAGAAGAACTTCCCAGTGGATCACCCATCCTGGGAATGTTCTAGTCCCTTTCTCGCTTAACTTCGGAGTTCCTATGGAACTCGAAACCAGTGAGCTCCCAAAAGGCCTCGTGTTATATGGAGTTGGGCATGTACATATAAGGTTTAAAAGATTCACTTCCCTAAACAATGTGGGATGTAACATATATACAGATATATTAATTTTTGAAAAATAAATAAACATTACATATATATATATATATTAATGCATGCTTTTGTGGATTCGAAACAGACAGAATGACACTTCTCCGTCCAAAATCTTAAAGCAGAAAGAAGAAAAGAATCAAAATCTCTCCCCAACTTATATTGTGCATAAATATGTCATTTCTATTATCGAACAATATATTATATGATCACTACTTCAGTAGCTTGCTTGGCTGCGATTCGTGCTCTGTTGTTGGTGCTGCTGGCATCTTCTTAGTTCTGACTAGGAAAGGTGCTAATTTTGACATCGATATTTTCTTTTGTTCTACGCGTTAAACACGTTGACAAATTAAGCATGTGTTTGATTTATCTCTATGATCTTGACAAAGGAATCAGAGCCGGCCCTGAGATTTCAGAGGCCCTGTGTGAAAGTGAATTGGAGGCCCTCAAAAGTACTGAGAATTTAATTTTTTTTATTTTTTTGTTCAAAATAATAATTTTAGTTTTCAATTGAGCTTCTATAAATTCTAATAGTACAAACAAATTTAACAAATTAACAAGTGAAATGTGTCGTATTGTTTTTCCTTAACTATTTAGAGGGTCAAGGTTCGAATTTTCATGTTATTGTGTGAAATTTTTACATTATTTTGTGGAAGCTTATGCATTTAATAAAAATATAAACTGAAAAAATGATGAGATGAGTTTCAAACCATTTCCCTAGGATGATGTAAAGAAGCAATAATTCTACTTGCCTAAGACTCAAGTTTGTAATATTTTACACTTACTACCATATATACGTATATGCATGCAAAATTGAAAAATCAAGAGCCCTTCTAAGATGGGAACCCTATGCGGTAGCACAACTTGCACCCCCTAAGCGCCGGCCCTGAAAGGAATTTAAGCTGTATATTGATGGTCAAGGGATACCAACATTTTTCAAATAATTAATGGGGGGGATATATACGGCATCTCAAGTAGATAGATCGTGCTTGCTTTAAAAGATCAATTCTTAAGTGATGGATTTGTGACAAGCCAAAAAATATCAGAGTCTTAAGTGATGGATTTGTGACAAGTTGGCTTGTCTTTTATATTTCTGTAAAAATTCCACCAAAATCTTGTCACTTCCAAATTTTCAATCATGATTTGTAAAAATTCTTTACGAATTTTGTAATAGTCAAAGTAACAATTTATATACAAAGCTTGAAACCAAATGATTTGTAGGATACGTACCTCTTACAAAACTTAAAAGGTAAAGGGAATACGTAAATAGGAATCTTCAGATTTCTTTCAATTAATAATCTTATTTGGTTTGACAACATTCAGGTTACCTTACTTTGTTGAAGAAAATCCTAAATTTAAATCACATAAACAACCATTTGTTGAATAATATAACAAAAAATATTTCTCCAAATCATTGTTCTTTTACTAGAGATTTGTAGTTTCGGAGAACGTTAGAGATTTTTGGTGATTCATGGCAACGGATCCCATCACTCTTCAATAAGTAATGCTAAGGAGACCAAATTTTTTTAAACCAAATGTTGTGGTTGTTGATGATTGGATTATTACTTAAGCGTTGATTAACGTGCTTATTTTATATTGATGACACATCATTTGGTTTAAAATTTTGGTCCCCTAGCATTACCCCTCTTCAATTAAAAGGGCCTGTATTTACCTGAAGGGCCTTGTTCAACCTAGGGTCAACCTTCAAGGTGTTAACAAATCAAAAGGCAAAAAGAAGAGATCGATATTGATTGCAAAACTCTGAATCTTCTTTTATAGACAAAAGGAAAAAAAAATCAAAACAATTGTCAAGAACGACTACACGACACAAATGCGCCATCTTGCCAAAACATAATTTGGAACAAACAGGAAAGCAGTCTAACCTTAATTAGTAGAAAATATTAAATAAATTAAACAATCTTTGTTGAACAATCTTTTTTCAACACCACTCACCGTCAAGATAAAAGTGGTATTCAACATTATGAGTTTGCTAAGAAAAGCCGATGAGTATGCCGTTCTTGATGGCCATGCCAATACTGATCTAAATTTTTATTGCCAGTATCAATGCCAGTGTCAATGTCAATGAAAGCTTCTAACACCAATGCGAACTTCCCATGTCAATGCAAACTTCCATTGGCAACACTAATGTCAATACCAAATAACATAAAATAACAAACTGGTGCCGAGTGAAGATAAAGCGGGTCAACATCCATCCTAGACAAACACAAGCAACCAATGTATGTCCAAAGACTCCAAACTAAGCACCACCTTCATTCTCGTGACGGACATCATCCTAGACCAAAGGCGGAACTACAATCAGACTAAGGTGGCCTATAGCTCAAAGTTTGAAAAATTATGACTAATTTCTAGACCTCCTAACCATTTTGCATGAATTATCCAACCTACTAACAAGAAATTAGCCACCCAATTACTCAAAATTCTCCGAAACTGGAAGCCAGACTAATGCATTGAAACTTCTCGTTAAAAAGAAAATAAGGAAACAAACTTATACCTTTGTTGGAAAGAAAAATTATCAGCCCACCCTTGATTAAATTCCTAATTCCGCCAACATGATCATGATTCACTTTTATATTTTCCAACAGGACAAACAGAAAAACAATCTTGGTAGAACAAGTATACCAAATCCACAATGACGAGCTAACTTAGAACTTATACTACATCTAAAGACTAACTTAGAAAGCAAAACAATCTCCCAAAAGTTCCTAACTTTATATTTTCCAACACAGGATCCTTGAAAATTATTAACCCTCGGGTTTGGACGACAACAAGTCAACACTAAATGTTTCCATGATAGTTCTTTTGATGATTATCTTGAGTACAACTGTACAAGCGCGATCATTGATGCTATAAATCCACATATGTTATAATATAACTAGAAAGTGTTTAATATTCTTGAAAAAATCGTTATGACTTAAGACACACAACACATAGAAGTGGCAAGGCCAGTTCCATCTCTCTCACTCTCTTTTTGAAATTCTCTCTTGAGTTCGGATTGATATTCTAACTAGGCAATCACACATCATCTGCAAATTTGCCAACTTAAAATTCTTAAATCCCGATGCATGCATCACAGCATCATCGTCTGTGTGATGCAACTTCTATTCGTGCGCGTCTTCATCAAACACCTAATTATATCTAAAGTTTGACATTGGTTATCATGCTTAAGTCCCTCTCAAATTTGTAACAAAGGGTGTTTTCGTCCACAAATAAAAACCCACAGTCCCTTAACTTAATTTTTTAAAGATTTTTTTTATTAACACTCCACATAATGTTGAATAACCTCGTATTAAAATTTATTATTAAATTACATATATATCCTAATATGCAATGACTGTTTAGGCATCATAAGTTTTTTTTTTTTTTTTTAAATAAAACTTTTAAATGCATCACAATCACTTTCAACATGTATATCTCATGATTATTTTTCTCTTCAAGCTCTGAAAAAGTCACTTTCACCATCCACTACAAAGCGGAAAAAAAAAACCTCTAACCAACCAATAAAATTACAAATACTTTGATTGAAAAAAAATATTTTTGACAAATGAAACTTGAAATCAATGTTTTAAAAACTTAACATGAGATAAAACTTTATAATTTTTCTTTGTTTTAGTGATTTTATCGACGTCATCAATCAAATTAAGGCATTCTATGTAACCGATAATTGGTGATCGGTGCAGAGATATCAACGAAAATAGCTTTTGACTGGTTATGAAGCCTACGATTTAGTTCAGTTATGAAAAGCTAATCCTGCTTACTTTTATCATTGACAAGACAGTGAGATCTACCCATTCAAATAAAACCCCCAATCACAAATTGAATGTTCCATGCAATTACACATTACAAACTCTATTGCAGCAAGTTATTCGGAGGTAATAAAATTCATGTTATTTATACGAAGATGATAAAATTCTTTGTTTGCTTTGACATCTAAATTTGTGAGGGTTCCGATTTACAGGTACCAATTTTTGGTTAGTTATCCAAATTTACCAATTTTTGTGTACTTAAACAGAATCGATCACAAGGCGATGCCTCTACATGGGACATTGAGGTTGCATCTAGGATGTGGATAGTATGAGGTATATGTAGAAAATGAAGGGTGTATGAAGAGAGTGTGGGGCTTGAGGGTATTACGATAAAGTATGTGGGATGTATTAAGTAATACAAATTTCAATTAAAAAAATAATTGTGAGGTGTATAAAGTATTTGGGTTGTATTCAACAATATGTAAGGTGTAATTAAAACAACCCTTTTTAAAATAATTTTTTCAATCTCTCATATTCCACTTTCAGCCACGTTTGGCTTATCTCTATAGTGTCTTAGAGTCTTGGCACATAAGTTAGTGTATTAACTATTAAGCCAAACAAGTGCCTTTCATATCAAGGGCAGTTTGGGCATCAACCCAAATATCTAAAGGAACCTTCTGCTTTCGCATTCCCTTTTCCCTATCGATTTTAAAGAATGCATATAATTTGTAATCCCACCTTGCTAGCTTCCCATTTGGCGCCTATATATACATGCCCATAAGATATCCAATTCCATCACCAAACCAATCTACTACTAGTAAGTTGCATGCAAACCCACAAGCTTCTTTACCTACATTTGCTCCATTTCCATAATTTTCCTTCACATTCCCATCTAGTTTCTTGGCTTCCACACAAAAGTTCCATTAAGTCTTTAAACCCTAATCAGATATCATAAGCATCCCTACCAACTAATTTTCATTTAGCCACATATACATTCCACTTCTTGGATACATTTTAATTTCTTTCTAGCTATTTGAGATCAACAGTAAATCCATTAATGGATCGTGTAACAAAATTGGCATCACAAAATGCCATAGTGATATTCAGCAAGAGCTCGTGCTGCATGTCCCATGCAGTCAAGAGACTGTTTTACGAACAAGGGGTAAGTCCAGCAATCTATGAGCTCGATGAGGAGTCAAGAGGGAAGGAGATGGAGTGTGCTTTGACAAGGCTAGGTTGCCAACCTTCAGTGCCTGCTGTCTTCATTGGTGGCAAATGTGTAGGCTCAGCCAATACAGTCATGACACTTCATCTCAATGGGTCGCTAAAGAAATTGCTAAAAGATGCGGGAGCATTGTGGCTCTAATTAATTAGCAACATTAATTAGCAGTGGAGCATATATCTATATGTGTCCCAAATGGTTAAAAGGGATAAATCAGTTTTATTTTTCTTTTTACTTTCCTCTTGTTACATCCAGCGGCTAAAAGCACAATGGAACTACATATCACTTTTGAGTGTTTGTCTAAATATAATTTTTGAAGTTTAGCGCTATATACAGGTAATCTTTTTCTCTCGCATCATCCATGTACATAATGTAAACTTTTGAAGAATGTTGATGAAGATAGTTATGCAAAAAGAGAGAAGAAGAAGAAGAGAAGATCAAGAGTTTAGAGAGAGAAGATAATTTTAGAAAATGTATTATCTTTCTTATTAGTTACAAGGTTTATATAGTTTGCATTGGTAGCTTACACTCTAAGCTACGCTATAACAAACTTTAACTCTTTAATATTTTGACACATGTCTAATTCACAACCATAGGATAATACTTTACTAAATATCTGTCCCTATAGATCAAACTTTTTTTTTTTTTTTTTGGATAGATCAAACTTTTAGTAGAATGTAACCCAAAAGAAAATGCATCATACAATATTGTTCCAGATTGATATATACTGATATAGTGGGTTGAATTAACTAATTAAGAAAATGAATAAATAAAAAAACAAAAAGCAGATGTTTAGCATTTGCCACCACAAAATAAATAAGGCTAGGATGCTTCTGAGTAAATTAATTAATTAGCCTATATAGGTTAGTGCCATGCAAAAGCATTAATCAGCTGCGAAATGGCTGAAGATTCTGAGGTGCATAAATTTGCGTCACGTACCCTCTTGAGTAAACTCTGAAATTCTGCAACAAATATTACGTGGTGCAATCATACCGGCGGAGACGTTCCATTTTAATTGCAGATGTCTTGTAAATAATGAAAATTATGGATATATTATATTCTTTGATGGCTAAATCTAAATTAAAATTGGATTATCGACTTTATTGCAGCTATATGAACATATATCTTGGGAGTGTTGTTCCATCACGCATATATGGCCCTTCCAGTTCTCCGATGGGTTTCATCTGGACAGCTTTGAACCTTACATAAACACATATGGCCTTTCCAATTTATAAATGCTTATTCCTGCTACACTTGTTTACAATAAAAATATTATTAGGCCTTGGTTTGGCCTAATAAGACGATTTGCAAAGGAATCTTGGACCTTTAGTTTACTCTAAATGAACGGTGCACGCTTAAATTGTTTTTAACTTGTCAAAAATATCATAATCTCAATCTTTCTTCTCGACTAAAGAGAGCATTAAATGCGAAATACTTTGGTGTTTTAGAGGGAAGGTGATCGTGAATTTAGGCAAAACCACCGTATTGGTTATGCTGATCTTCATTCACCGCTAAAATATTTTGGATTATTTTTCTATTAATGCATCACTTTTTGGAAAGTAATCCTAGGTCGACTTCAAATGAGAACACATGAAGCATCGATGGAAGAGATGGACGGTATATAAATACAAGTGAAGGAAATGACACTCAAATCATATAACAAAACATATTACAAGCTTTCAAACTAAAAGCTCATGTCTTTCACTTGTTTCATCCCTTTTGCTTTATCAAAAGACAACTTAAAACCAAGACCTTAGAACTTTAGGAAAACTTCCTTTAGACTCTAAGACCAATTATAATTTGCTCCGTTTCCATCTCTTTTGCATAGTATCAATTAACTAGCCTTAAGACAAACAGTCTTTTTGGTTGTAACCCTTTACAAGGAAGCATTTTGACCCCAATCAGATGGTCTCATATCCAATCCGATAAGAGCTTAATCGATTGTTCTTCATTCATTTATGTATGTACTTTGCTTGATTGTGATATTTAGCAATATTAATATCAATTTCAATTACTTACTTATTGCTATTATCGCTTACTGTCTTTACTTTCTGTTGTGAATTGCTGAAGTGGTATGCTTAAATATAACTAGTTTGTATTTAACCCCATCTCAGTAGTTTCTGGTCCAACATCAAGAAACTATTAAAGTTATTAACATGCAAGATATTAAAAAGAACCAAACTTGAGCCAAACATTGGCACAATTCTTTATTCAAAAAAAAGTTTTACTACTTGTGGTGCAAGTACTCAATATGCATATAATATATTCTAAATATATTACAATTTTATGCTGGCAGAAGCCAACAGTGGCACATCTGATAATTAACAAACCAAATGATTAAGCCTCTTTGAAGGTCAAAGTGTGAAGCCTATACCAACTGGGAAACAAAACTACTCCGCGAGCCAACAATGTTTGTTTTCACACGGACCCTAATGTGAAAATCTACGAGTGCATATACTTAGTTATCATTATATATAATCTTTTGCATTATCATCATCTCGTCCTAAAGTGGAGGAACTACTAAGGAATACGGTAGCTGGGAAATAATGTACATAGCGAAGCTAAAATTTTCATTATATTTGTTGTCATAGACACATAGTGGAGCCTCCTATCCAATTACTCGTCAAATCTTTGCAAAAGAGGGATACTTTTGAAGTGAACCATTGCTTTTTGCTGAATTATTCCAAAATATTGTAGTAATATTTGCTAGTAGCTATTTCCCAATCCCAATCTCTTTACTAATTACATCTTCCATCATACAAAGTTATTAGCTTAATTAGGCTACGGAATTTAACTATATAATTATATAATGTTGCACTTTCTAGGTTCTAATAGTACTTCATGTTTGGGGCTAGAAATTGATATTTCATCTATATTGTATAATGTGGCACTTTGTAGTTTGTATTCTTTCATTTTCGAAAAGCGTTCTAGATAGGCAAAATATTCACCTTGTCAATATTGAGTGGTGGAATTGATTCCACGTTATCTTATAAAAATTAAAATATATAGAAAAGGGCTCAACAAATCATGAACAACGTGTACAGGAAATATCAACGACTACGAGCTGCAGTTGGAGATGCAGGACAATTTTTTAGGTTTATACTTTTATACGTACTTTACGTACGGACGGGTTCTTTACTGTAATTTTTGTAAGAAATATGGGCTTGTGGTGAAAGTACGGGAATGGATCATTTTTAGCAGGATCCATGACATAGACACAGCCACAGGTACTTCCATTGTAAAGCAATCATATTGACACATAAGCCCATTCATCAACTCCTGAAGTTTCAAGCATAAACCATACTTACTACGGCCGAAAAAGTATAAAACATACGATTCGGCCTTTTTCCCTCAAAGACTGACACATGAACTTCATAATTTTAGTACTTGATTAACCAGAAAATGAAATCAAGTACTTGATGCAGTGTAGTTTTGAAGTAAAGTATGTACGTTACTATATGTAAATATAGGGTCTCTGTGTTGACAAATTGTTTATTTTAATTACATATATCATATTTTACCGGTTTAGTTAACATTACTTTGTACATCCAGTAATATTTTAAAGAAAACGACATTTTCATGTATAATATATGCTTTAATCTTAACGTGTATACGGATACTAATGAGTTTCACGTGCTTAGCATGGTATATAATTGTCCTATACTCCTGTCTATTAAGTGGCAAATCACAGAAAGAAGAAAACATCTCCAACATGCATACGTGAATTACTACACATGCAACTAAAGATGTATAATATTCTGTCTGTGTTTCATTGGCGTGGCTTTGGTTGCTTCATCCTTACTTCAACTTAATTAGCTTTTATCAGGATAAAAATGTACGGGGCAGAACCAGCAAGCATGCATCTACATTTCATCAGACAAGTACTTATCCTGCTTTTCATCCATGTCATCCATACACACACACATGCCTTTATGCAAAGGGTTCTTCATTTAAAAAAAAAAAAAAATAGAGATTAGGTGTGGGACCCACTCCACATTGAATTTCAACAATCCGAATCGTCTATTTTGTTAGTCTCGATTTATAAATCATCCTTGCAAAAATTCAATTCAATTTGAAACAATTTGCCTATTTAATTATCAATATCAAATTTCATTATTTCTTATATAACAAAGTATTTGTTGATTTCTTTGAACCCAATTAGATGTCTTAAATATTTCCGATTTGGCTAATATTTTGCAAGGATGATCTATGAGGTACAACTTGAAAAATAGACGGTTCCGATCGTTAAAGTTCGATGTGGTGTGGATCCCACAACTAATCTCAATTTTTATAAAAAAAAAATGAAAATCTCTTTCCTTAAAGGCTTCCTATATATATATATATATATATATATATATGTTACTGTTTGTGATAATGTGATAAACTCCCATTTTAGGGTGATTCGAAAACTCTAAAACTGTACCATAACCCTAAACCCTACGATTAATAGAAAGATTAGCCGACATAATCCTGGATTAACCCACCAAAAGAATCTTCTTGCTAAACTTGTACAAATAATATTGAAGATATTCCAATCCCATCTACTTTCACGTTGTAGTATTAGATTTTCCCAAGGCTAACAAATGAAATTAGGACGTGATGACGTTAAAACCTATATAAATGTGCTGGCTTTTGTTGTCCTTGAGAATTAGCAATGGACTATTTTAATTTTATTTTAAGCAAAGTGGCGTAAGATAAGATGCATGCCCTGGAGATCGAAGAATAGAGGTGTACAACAAAGATGAGAGTTGAATTCCACAACACAAAAAAAAAAAAAAAAATTAGTTTTGTATATACTTATAAGAAGTTGAGTTACTCATCGCATTGTCAATTAATTTCAACTTTCTTCACAACGTGCTGATGATCTTGAGATCTTCAACCAACCCATGAAAATCATGTGGATTGACATTAATCGGGTTGGACTCGGTGTCGGATTCAGGCCAACCTTGTCAATAATACACCTCCAATGGAGAATGAAAATTAGACTTCTAATCTTAGACGAGGTAAAGACGCTATCAAAGTTTGTCTACAACATCAATCCAGTCATCCAACATTGCAACTTATACATCAGTGCACTGTACAATTTCGTATTATTAGTAGGAATCTGGAAAGGTCTTGTGTGGGTGCTCTTTGGGTTGAGGCAATCGTGTAGTGTTTGACATTAGCATTGTGACTGTATGTTGGGTTGTCAACTGAGATTCTAGATCTTGGTTATTACTGAACATTAGCACATGCAATTTGGTGCGTCCTTGTTAAGTCTGCAGAGGCTCACAGCCTCACAGCCGTAGGTAGTGCCACTACATTCAGCTTTTCAGCTAATGGCTATGAGGACTGAGAACTATAGGTGCATATTGGGTTAGGTGGGATAATCATTCGAGTTGAATTGTGCTTCAAGTAGAGAAAAAAAAATAACATACTGTCAAGCAGTGTATAATATCATATCATATTGTATCATGAAGATGTAATTTAATTAAATTGTAAATAATTTTGAACAATGTTGAGATTTCACGATAAAGTTAATTGGTAAT